GTTCCATGTTTTTTGGACTTTGTATTTTAATAGTACGTGATTCACTTGACTACAAAAAAGTTCGTTTTAGTTTCTCTTTATTGTTTGTTTGTTGAATAGCAAATATAACCATTAAATGATTAAAAGATCAAGTGATAACGGGACAAAGGATGATAACGAATGCTAAGTAAACTGACCGTAAATGGGGCACTAAGGTTATAGGTTAATTCAATACAATTATACTGGCTGTATCATTTAGTTTACTGTTTTAATAAATCAACTAGATTTAATAATTTTACCCTCCTAACGCTGAAAATGATCAGATAACCTTAAGTCCTCGGCTCGTGCTCTTGTTACCAATCTCGCTAATCAGTATATTTGTCTGATTTCTGTGATTTGTTCAAGTACCAATTGAGTATTGATGGGATCAAGAAAGGTTCCCTGTCTGACTTAACTACGGGACACGAAACACGTTTTTTATCTATTACATGCTATTTTCTTCTTCAAGTAGAATGTATATAATGTCCGGGAAAAATAATCTCAGGTCTTGAGAAAACTCTGCACGTAATACTCTCGATCTCCTATTGGAACCACTTACATTCTTCCGAAAAACAATGGCGATAGAATCATTATAATCCGGTCACGCCAATTATCTACGGTATTATGCAATAGACCAATCAGCGGTCGTATCTGCCCTCATTACTGATTTCTCCGCGTCACTGTGATTTCCTACTTGCACTTATGCATACGAGGGAAAGAATTCTTTAGTTTTAGAGGCTCTTCGTTCTTTAACGGCTGCGACGAAAGCGTTGGGGAAAATATGTCAGAGGAAACTTCAAGTGGTAAGTTTGAAGCATTATTGCGGATTTCAGCGTGATTTTTCAGCTGAAAATAGGTCAGCGTGGAAGATAGGACATAAAAATCTTGCAGCTGTTTGCACGCTTATCTTTTGATGATGGTCAGGATGGTGGCTATGGCTTACCGTATAGATAAGTTATTTAATGGCATGAAATGTCATTCTTATTTGACCTGAGTGTTTGATAAATGTGAGTCTCAAATGGAGCGGCCGGCGAAATGCGTTTACGTGCATTCCTTTACTGACTTGGCTAAATAGTTTATAAATGTCCTTGAAATTAATACTGTACCAATAAACCGTCCTTTTGAATATTTAGTATAAATGATGACCAGAAAAAGTGCTTTCACACCGTCGATTAAGTGTGTTTAAAACTGAAACTCGTAGCTAACGCTTACGTTTTTTCCATCATATGAACAGAGACCGGACGTTACAGGAGAAGACATCGTGATCGCCAAGCTGATCAAGAAACCTCCGAGGAAATGGTATAGGAATATTTCAGTTAAATATGCATACTTATCATTCCCTTATCGTTGCACTTCTCTTCCCTGTAATAAAATTGGTTCAAACGTAGCTTCGAAACATATTTATTTAGCCGGCCATCTTTCCACATGAAAAACGAGGCAGTTGTTTGGTGTTGACAGAAACGGACAATTTTTAATTCGGAGTTATATTCCCGAGGTGTGTCAAAAGGACACGATAATCAGGAATTGGTTAGTTGATTTGTTCCAAGGTTATTTAATATTTTTGCATAATTCGCCAGACAATAAATATTGCTGATCAGTTTTAAATGGTAAATACTTGTAGTTTGTTTCAGATTCAGTGGCCACTATTAAAAATCTATATTTTCTTTTCTTGTTTCGCTCGCTCTTGATCTATCTTGAGCGGCTTCTCGAAGTAAGTAGATACTTGTTAAGATGATGAGGTCACCTTTCACTGTAAACAGACACTGGTTACCGAATCATAAACCAGAATATTCTTTATTTTGATTGCCTTTATGGTAGCAAGCCAAGTGCGTAGGATTAATGGTTATTAATTTACTTGGTATAATCTGTATATCCAAACCCAAGCATTTTGCATTTTGCTTGGCAGGCCTAACCCCTCCAACCCACCTCCCCTCCCCTGTGTCAAAATAACCAGATTAATAAAAGTTAAAATAAGTAGCTCAATTTTACATAATCTTATTCTTTTTGTTTTGCTCTAAGCAATAAAATTGTAGTATGTAAAACCTGTTTAAAATAAGGTTAACTTTATGTAAAAATACCTCTGAAAATAATCGAATAAATAATGACGGCACATGGGTGCCTGGAAAGAGCAGTCAGTGGTTTTGCCAATGGGGAGGGCTGTGGACAGATTTTGTATAAACATGACTTTGTTATGGACCTCAAAAATGGGTAATCTCATACCCAGTTCTCTTGTTAACGAAGCTGAAGGCGAGATCTGGTCAAATCTGATTTGTACACGTGATCGCCAGTCAGGAATGTGACAGGCAGTAAAAGAGCGCATCCTCGAAATAAATCCTCAATTTTAGACATGTTAAACAACAAATTTGATAGAGCGGTGAAGTTTTCTGTAATAAAAAGTGGTTATACGCATATCTTAAGTATGAACAAACTAATTTGCTGTTGTTTTTCTATGTAATATCAAATTCAAAGTGACAGGTAGTTAGTTTTAATAGCACATGCTAAAAGCTCAAAGCAGCACACATCAACTTCTAGGCGAAAATTTTGTTTTTACCCTTTTCAAAGGTCTTAGTTTTGATACTGGGAGTGTAAAAAGTCTTTAAAGATGAGATAAAAATGGTTTTACAAGTTATAACTTATTATAACTTATTGAGACAGAAAGCTACTTCTTCAGTGAATGTTTATTTGAATAGAACTACTTAAGACTTTGCAAAGAATGAATTGCACACGCCTTAGTGCACAGGAAACAACACTCATGTCATTCGCTCACAATCTAGCCAATCAAGATAAATGAATTTTCTTACTTGACCAGATCTCGCCTTCGGCTTTGTAAACAAGAGATCTGGGTACAAGATTACAAAAATGGGGTCAAAACAAATGCACAGGTTCTCCAGGCCAATCAAAAAGAATACTTGGTCTGCCCGTTTCTCTCTTCCCCAGCCCTACCCATGTAAAGAAGGTCACTAGTCTTTAGGAATCTTTTCAGCTGTTAAGTAACCAGTACCTCATGTAGGGTGTTATCTGGTTAGCATTATGGAGAATATGCTTGGTGCATTATATAAACCAAGTTTTGTCATTTGCTCATACAGCTGTAGGTACATTACCATTCCCAGACCCCCAAATTGTGGAGAATATATAATATAACAGAGAGAGAGAGCTATACACTGTATGTAGATACAGATTAATCATGTTGTCTGCTAAAAGCTCCTTTATCAAAAAAGCTAATTCTCCTCACTACAAAAAGAGTTTTGTTATCTCCAAAGGCCTGGTGTGAGTTGAATGCTTGATAATGATGACAATAATAATGCAGTTCAGTTTTGTTAACGTGCGAGCCCTCTTCTGCTGCTGGATAAATTAAATATTAAAAATTCAAAAAGCTTTTCTGTCATGCTTCACTTGACCTACATTGTAATCATTTTTCTGTTTTATTTCTTTGGTAAAGTAAGGTCTAATTTTGTTGTGCTCATATCTTGAAGTTGATTTCTGGTTTATTCAAAACTGCAACAACATTCCAGACAAACAACATACCCATCACTAATGAGTAAAAAAGTAACAGGTGTGACAAGTGGGAATGTTTGTATTACACTGTAAAGAGGTTTAACTTTTGTATGAAATGCTCAAGTTCTAGATTCTTCTCGAAATTAATTTATCTAAGAGGACATTTTAAGTACTCTGGTGCTGGTAAATAACTTAGATATGCATCCTGCATATTGTAGAAATGCTTAAAACAACGCCCCATCAGGAAGCTTGTTTCTCAATACAATCATTGAGAAATAAATACAGTGGAACCTCAATATAACAAACCTCTATATTACGAAGTCCTCGGTATAATGAACAATTTTATTTACCCCAGTTATAGTAAACGATATATGGAAAAGAAATTCAATATAACGAAACTTTGTTAATAGCGAAAAAATCTTGCCAGTCCGTTGGCCCTTCATTAAATCGAGGTTCCACTGTAAATGCACCTACAGTATCTCAGTTCAGGCATCATTTGCTTCTTTTGCATGTATACTCGTAACTGTTTTTTTGTCCTCTTCATTAATTCTATGTTATACATCCTCTGAAAGCAAAGGATAAGAAATTGATTGATAAAGGTTGTTACAGGTGATGTTTATGGTGTAAATTATACACATTATACTGTGACTGTATATGAGTACGCCAATGAAAACTAACTTTTGATCAAATCTGTGTAACAGTTATCACTATGTACAATCAATTTAGGAATAATATTATTTTTGACAAACCTGAAACACTTTAACCATACTATAGCTTCTAAGATCCATCCATTTTCTTGAGATAAGTTGGTAGAAAGTTACACTGTGTAACAGTACAGATTATAATAACTTGTGCAAAAACAGGCATGTCGCAGTTTAATGTAGAATTAATTTTACCTGCAATCAAAATCAATTAAGTGCTCCCTGCTTGTATCAATATATATACAGGTCTGTATGTAGCTATCTCACTGTTTCAGGCATTAAGGTATAATATCAGTAAGAACTTGTTAGGTATTATAAACAGGCTGATAAAAAGAAATCACCTACTGTAAAACAGAGATACTTCTTTATCACAAACAAATCTTCTTTGAAGTTGGGTCATGGAAATGGTTTGTGACAGAATGTTCCACTGACATGTCTTGCTGTCCTCAAATCTCTTCTGTGCTGTTGTGTGACCTTTAACTTGTCAATGAATCAGTGGCTCAGCCTTTTATGTAAATGACTGTGGTAATTCTGTTCCTAATTTTAAAAGCTTACACTTCACTGAAAGGGCTGGAAATTTTTAAGAGGTTAGCTTATGGGTAGTCTTGTTGCTTAAAATATTTTTCACTTTCTTTAGAAAAAACATAAAGGTACTTTTAGAAAAACCTAGTTGTTATGCAGAATGTCAATTAGGAAGACTGCATGTTTTTATTGGACCACTGAAACAAAGAGTTATTGATTCCACAAGCACCTATGGTGTTTTTGTTGTGAGAGACCTGGGGCTTGATTGAAACTGGAGATAACCAAAGAAAACTAATGAATTAAGAACACAGATTGTAAGCATTCCATAGGCTTGCAAATCAATACACTAGTGCATAGCAGTCTGCTTGGCTGTTGATGTGAAGTCTGTCTTGTAGCTCCCTGCACATCACTCTGCTATTTTCCCTGTCTACCAACTTAAGTGACAGTGAATCAGACATACTACACCTAGATAACTGAAAATGGAGGTAAACATTTATTTTTTGGGATTTTTTTATTTTAATGTATTCTGTGAGGCTTTAATTCAGCTGTAATGGAGGGTAAGGCTGGGTCACTCCCTTTAAATGTTCTGTTCTCTAACTCTGTGCTAAAGTTTCACCAGGACTCATTTGCCAAGAATATCTACACGCTCTTAGTTCTCCTTATGTGTGCATGTCATTTTATACCATTAAAATGCTTTGAGCTTTTTAGGGCAATCTTACTTCTCTGCTAGCCACAGTTACTTTATGTAAATTTCTTTGTTTACACACTAATCTGTGGCTCAGAAGTTGTTTTTTATTGTACACAGCACTGTTTTGTGCCAAGATATATTTCTTGTGATGTTGTGGCTGTATTTATCAAGGTCTTGCACTGAACATATGCTAGCCTTTTAATTACTATAATTTTGATTGAAACTGTCTTTTGTTTGTTGTTGTGTTACAATAATGGGTGCTCCTTGAATCATTAGCATAAATCTGCTTAAACCTAAATCATGCAATGTGCAATAGCAGTGAATCTTAAAAGCTTGTGTTCTTTCTAGTGGTGTTATGGTATTTATTGGCTTGATCAACACTGTACTGTTTTGATTTTCCCACTTGAGATGTGTAGACTTTACAACAGCTGATCCATAAGAGCTTAGAATAGCTGCTGGATGTAAAGCCTTCAAGTAAATTAGCATTTTGTTCACAGCAGTTCTCCTGTTGGGGCTGAATTTCCACTGGGTTTAACCATTGACTGATGCTTTTTACTTGCTGTTTCTTTTGTCAGAGACTCACACTAATAGTTTGTGGGTTTGACGCATGTGGCTGCTATCTGTCAAACTCAACTCACTTGATATTGGCATCTTGTAATGGCAACCGCTTTGTTACATCTGTATTTGAACTCAACAGAAATGTCTGTCTCTATGTTCAAGACTTAAATCGTTTTGGATGGCACTGAAACCTTAATTTCCAGTGCTCTTTGTCTCCAACAAAGTTATCACTGTGAGCTTTTTTAAAAAACAAAAATAAATCTTTTCTCTATATTTGGTCATAGTATTTGGTTCATGGGCCTTAACATATTCATGCTTGAAATAAAGAAATGAAAGGTCATCAGATGTGACCCCACCCAAATCTACATTACATTTTTCAAATATTTACTAAATGTGCTGAATAGTAAAATAATGCTGCCAAGCTTCAAAAAGTTAAATGGATTTTGTACAACCTCACAAAATTTTATTAATTATAGCATCAACCTATACACAGAAAATTTAATGCATCAATGTGCAATCATTCTGAGAAGTAAAATCAATGCAATGTAGTGAGGTGAACCACATTAATGTTGTGTGACATTTCACTGCTGTTCTCTATTTTCATAAGCTGTTTTGAATTTTTGAAAGAGATTTGCACTTATTAAAACTGTTGACAAGGAACTTCTGTCTCCACTGTTTTTATGCTGTGTTGATGTATTGAACATCATAGGGATAATTCCTAAATTGTTGGAATGATTATTTTTGCTGAAGTGTGCACCAAGTTTTTCAGAAACATAACACAGATACCTCAGCTGACCATTGTGTTATTTGCCACTTTTGAATATTATTTAACATTTTTTTGACACTGGTTTAAGATCTGACATGAATATTAGAGTTGAATATTATGTGGTACACATGTATTTATTAAGAAGAAAAACACATAAATTTAATGTTGTTGTAACAGGTTGTAACAGGTTTCATAATTTATTATTTTTGAAGCAGCATTTTTATATTCTTTTTAGAGCAGATGATGAGTGAAAGCTCATGCGTGAAAGACATGCAGCTCTGCTTATAAATGCTTTTAACCCCAATTGACTTTTTGCTTACATTCATGAACACCATTTCTATAAGCACCTAGTTGCAGTTGTGGACAATTTTCTGCTTCCTGTGAGGTATCTACTGAAGGGAGCTTCGAATGTACATTAAAAGCTACATGTACGGTAGCTCTTTTTAATTATTCATGTAGAAACTTCCTCAAAAACAGATAATTTATTATTATTTATTCTTAAAATATACATGTTATCAAAGCATACTGTAGTTTGACTTCAATTTTTATCTTATAAAGGACTCTGGTCTGTCTAACATTTAAGCATAATATACATTGTAGCTAGTGCTGTGATTTTAGTACTGAGTAGAGATAGGATCATATAATAAACAACTGCAAATTGTGTTTGATACAGGTGTAATTTAAAGTTCTGTCCTTAAGGGGAGCACAAACGTCAATGATCCTAGTGTTTTTTTACTTGGGGTTTGCCTAAAATAAATAAGAAAACTGATACCATAAACAGAAAATCATATGGTTTTCGCAATGTGCAAAAAGGATTGTGGACCTGGTGGCAGAAAGTCGACGTGCTTACACATAGAGGAGGTAAAATTAGCAGCTATTAAACTACTGTAGATGATAATATCTGAATGCCAAAACTCACAACCTGTACTGTGTTAAAGTTCCATGTTGTTAAGCTATCCAGAGTTCAAGTTCATTACCTTTCATTACCAATTTTAATTTGTTTGTAAATGCAAAAACATTAACCTACTACAGCACGTATTTCAAGGACATAATCCAATACTACTATTCAGTCTGGTGTCCGCTTAATAGAGGTTTTTTAACAATAGACAGGGCTTCTGATATTTCGCGGAAAAAAAAGCAAAATTTCGCGGGATTTTCAGGGGCAAATTCGCGGAAAAATCGACCGATTTCGCGGGATTTTCGCGGGAAAAAAGGTCAAAATTCGCCGAAAAATCGGCCGATTTCCGGGATTTTCGCGGGAAAAAAGTCAAAATTCGCAGAAAAATCGGCCGATTTCGCGGGATTTTAGCGGAAAAAGTCAAATTTCGAAGGAAGGGGCAAAGTCTTAGAAAAATCGGCCGATTTCACGGGAAATTTCGGGGGGAAACGTCGCCAAGAAACAATCAGTAAAAAACAGCCGATTTCGCTGGATTTTTTGGGGGAAATTTCGCTAAAATCGATCAATTTTGCGTCGATATGACCAGCGTTGTTTAACGTTTTTTTAACAGGGATAATCATTTGCTCTTTCAGCAACAGTTCGCTCGAGAAATGAGCGAATGCTAAAGCCATTAACATTATGGTTAGTGCCCAGTTTTTCGCAACGTTCATCTAAAAACGCCTGGTAGTTTTGGAACGTTGTTTACGTGTTGCAGTGACGAAGTTTCAAGATAAATTTGGACGTTTGGGGTGAATAAAACAGGTCTAATAGCCAAGATAAGTATTAAATACGTTTTGCCGACATGTATTTGGAAATATTTCTGGCGGATTTCGCGGTATTTCGCGTTTTTTGGGGAATTTCGCGGGATTTTGCGGAAATACCTGAATTTCGCGGGTCCGCGACCGCGCGAAATATCAGAAGCCCTGAATAGAATCTACTTTTTAAAGCAATTTATTGTTCTGGCTAAAATAGCCTATTGCCTTCCAGCATACAGTGTAAGTGAAGCTGATTTAAATGTAATCCAAACTACTAGATATTCGACAATTGTTGGAAGAGAGTGATCGGAAACTCTTCTAGAGTCATTCTAGAGTCATAGAGTCTAGCTGCCATTCTGTACACTCTATGCTACCATGAGTAAAGGAATCATCAATAAGGCTAAGATGTAATAGTAGCCTGTTACCTAAAGTGAACACTGGACACTTAAAAATATTGTAAATAGACTAATTTTTAAGTATATTAAATAAGCAATCTAACTTACCTTTAAAAATTATGTTTCTTCTGAAATTGTAAGCACTTGTTAGTTAGTATTTCAATAACTCAGTCTCCACCATTGTAACTATTGATATGTATTTTTATCAAATGAATAAAGACATTATTATTACTTTTATTATTATTATTATTACGGATCTCGTTTGAACTCTTAAGATCGGTACATGCATGCGTCAGAGGTTCGCGAACGCCGTTTCGTAGCAAGATAGAGGAATTATTAGACTGTAAAATAAATGTCGCTAGTGCAGATATCTGAAATACGTGTCTTTATGCTTTCATACTTAGGGCTTTTTATGGACACTGGTTTAGCCGTCATTAGTATAATTCGATTGTCTGATCTTGATATCTCTGCATAATGGAATTCTTTATTTTATAGAATTTTGAGCTTTTATTATTAATTACATCTATTTCCTCTTCTTTTATGTAAGGTTAAGTTACTTCTATTTTTTAGAATTTGTAAATGAATAGTTTCTTTCTTCACTTATTATATATAGGATTGTTTTTGTTCTCTAATGAAGGCTGAGGGGTTTCTTTTGTAACGGATGGAATTGTAGATAGTGTTTTAATGAATTAATTAGATTTTTTGTAACAGCAGGTTGATTGTAAATAGGATTTTAATTGAGGTTTTGTAATAAAGATTTTACTTATTTTTATTATTATTATTATTTTATTATTATTATTAATGACGGACTGAGGTGCACATCAACCTCACTTTCTACAATCCTCTTAAAAAATCCTTGAAATCTACCCATGCACTTCCCTTTCCCGATGCAATGTTGAGATTTTACAGTACATGGCTACAACAACATTGCAAATGGGTGAGGAAAAAACAAATAGGAAAAGAAAATTTCCAAACTGTTTCAAGGTTTTTATCTGAGATTCTAGAAATTATTGGACATTATTTTGGATTATTAGGTTTGCCATTATCGTTAATATTTAGTATGGAAGTGGATGTCTTTAATTTTTTTATTTTTCACCCAAATTTGTGTACTAGTTAAGAAATATTAATAAACACATCTTAAAAATTTAAATTGTCACAGGACGAAGCTGCAAAGAGAAGGGAGCAACGTAGACGAGAGCGTGAAGCACGACGTGCAGAAAGAGATGCTGAGGATGCTGCAGATGAGGAGAAGAGGAAGAAAGAAAGAGAAGAACGGCGCAGAAGAAGAGACAACACAGGTACAAGTTTATAATAACTACACTACATGCAGTTAGCCTGCTCCATAGATGAAACCAAACTCTGGTTAAGTCTGTCAGTGATCCTAGTTCTGGGCCCCCACCTGTGTACCAGGATTCAAGTATGTGCCATGATTGGCCTGTTGAAAACCATTGCCATTGTCGATTTGCCAATCAAGGTGAAAGGAAATTGGAAATGCTCTTCCGGTAATTCGTTGAGTCCGTTGGGAGCCCAGAACAAGAATATCAGTGCTATTTCACAGATGTTACTAACCAAGGTTAAATTACGGCTGCAACGGGGTGCATGTGCACTGTCGACTCGTAAAGAGGTACTTGCGCTACTTGTATTTTTTTCATGTGATTAAAAATCCGAATATCTTTAAAACACACTCTGCACCACACTCTTTTTGAGGATTGTTTTTTTTTTATCAGTTTAATCAATTACACTACCTATTACTATTATACTTATGACTTTTAATGACTTAAGAAGTACCAGAACATACTAACACCATTTTTACCATACATGTACATGGGTTGATTATACAGTTTATTAATTGAATAGTTAATAATAATATCTGTGAATGTTAATACATATTATAGATGCGCCTGCAGAGGAGAGTGCATCAGCCCGCCGCCGTCGTGAAAGAGGTAAGATTTGTCTTTAATATAACATTATATATGTAATTAAGTGATTCACCCCTTCTTGCAAGTAAATTTTGTTCCAATATTGAAAAGTAACAGTGTCTATTTATACTGCACATACTATATTGTTATATGCTTCTTGTGATACATGTACATGACATACATGTTTCCTTATCAGAGTTTTGATTAAAAAACTGGCAAGTCAAGATGAGGTTTGTTGTGATTTTGCATTACCACAAGAGAATTTTTAATCCTAGAGAAGTGTATAGTACTATAATTATGTTTGTTCATTGCATTTTTGTCCTCAGTAGAATGCCACAATTCCAAAAATTTAGTACTTTTCCTCCAAGTAGCATGAAGGTACAGCTGAATACTTAAAGATTTGTGACCTTCATCCGTGCTTTTTTTGTGGTGCAGAGGAAGAAGAAAAGCGGAAGGCTGAAGAGGGGGCAAAACAGAGAGAGGAAGAAAAACAACGAGAGGAAGAGAGGCGAAAGGAGCAAGAAAGGAGAAAGGAGGAAGAAAGGAGAAAGGCAGAAGAAAGGCGCAGACGTGAGGAAGAGGAGGAAGAGGAAAGAAGGAGAATGGAGGAGGAGAAAAATAGGGTAAATCAGGATCATTTGGATGCAGCTGAAGAGGACGAGGAAGAGGAGGAAGAGGAGGAAGAGGAAGAGACAATCATTGACAGACTAAATCCCCAGAAGAAGCGTAAGTTATTGTTCTCTCAAATGCATTTATATACATGTAGGCTTGGTGAAAATGGTAAAGGTTTCTTTATTGTAGAGGTGCACTTACAGGTAGTACTCTCAAATAACTTATAACAAAGTAAATTAAAATAATAACAAGAACCATAACATGATTAAAAACCCAACCTGGTAAAAAGCAGCCACTAACCATTGGCTATTTATAAGCGTGGCCAAGTAGTTGAACTCTGGATGACCATTTGTGTTCTTTTAATTGGGATCAACTGTTTCAATCATATTTGGTTTGGTTGAATTTCCCAGTAATACATTGTATAACACTTTTCCAACCACTTTTGATTGAAAATTGGCTGTGACTGGGTATAGTCATTTCCAGGCTTAGCCTTTTCTTCTGTTGCCAGGGTTGTCAACATGGTGACTGCAGAATGGTTGCTCGTATAAAAACAAACTGAATGCCAGGTCAACCTTATCCAATTCTCATTCTATTCTCTTCTTTTGCTCTCAATAGAGGCTATTCTAGAAGGACTGGCTAATGAACTGCGCCGAATAGTTGAAGAAAGAGAGGCAAAGAATGTGCCAGCTACCCAACAAGAGCTTGATGAGCTTGATCTCAGACTCCGCTCTCTTCGAACACAGCTACGCAAGGCTGAAGAGTTATCTACCCAATTAGGAAAACAAAAGAGAGAAGTTGATGAAAAAATCGAAAAGAACAAGAGAGATGTATGTTTGATATTATAGTGGCCAGTGTCTTTAAGTTCATGTAATTAATAACTCAGAACAGGAGGTGGCCTAATCCTAAACCAAAGCAGGCTATTTGAGCTTTTCTTTATTTTCTATCAGAGATCCACTATGTTACATACTTCTTCAGCTAAAGGAATTTGATATGAGGCTTGCTCTACATTTATTTCCCTAAAAGAATGGAAACTTTAAGTCAAGTAACCACCCCCCCTTTAGGGCCACTCCCAAGGGTGAGTACATTAATTAGGGTTAGGGTACAAAAAAAATCATGTATCATAAAAGTAGAATCACAAAAATCAAATTAACAAACTAAGATCTTTGACCTTCTCTAAGTGTTTTGTGCACCCATTTACAATATACCTGAATCAGTTTATGTGAGAATAGATGTACAATTTAGAGTAAGATATATTGTCCTTCCATGTCAGGTTGCCAGGCTTAAAAACGAGGTTAAGAAAACAGAGGACGAGAACAATCTTCTTATCAAAGAAGGAAAGTGAGTAAACTACTTGATTTTATAAAACTTTAACACCAGCATCATATTTCCTAGATTAAAATTGTCCAAGGCATTTTTTTTTACTGGGAAAATAGGGAAAAAGGACATTGATATATAAAATATATATATATAAAAAATCCTCAAACTAATGAGCTTCTTTGAATTGAAAATCTTCATACCTGAATAAGTTTTTGTTGACAAACTCTGTTGACAAAAACACGGTTCAGTTGTTAAATGCTGGAAGCTTTTTTGAGTAAATGTCAAAAAGTTTAGTGTATTAACAACATAACTGTATTGATAAGTAAGATGACATTGACCTTTGAACAGTGAAGTGACAACCCAGCTTGACATAAATTTCTCTTGTTTTACTGCAGTGAAAGCTGCAGACAGGGAAGGGAGGGAAAGTGATTAACCCTTTAAGTCCCAATAATGACCAACATCAATATTCATACATTGTCAAGAGATCAGGTTATGAGAAATAATAAACTGAATGAGCATTTAAGAGAAAATACTTTGATCTTTTATCAAATTCTCTAAGGAATTCTTTAAGAAAATGTATAGAGATCAATAGGAGAATTTGTATGCATATATTAAAAAAAAAAAAGGTTTAAAGGCTTGTTTATAGTGGAAAGTGCACTTAGCTTATCCAGCTAGTTTACAGGCGCTCCACTCAAATACTTACAAACAAATAATTCAAATACAACATAACAGGATTTAAAACCCCAACTAGCAGGAGGCAACCAGTTGGCTATTTACAAGCGTGGACAAGGATTTGAACTCGGGACTACCGAGAACAAATCCAGCAAGTGGCCAGAGCGGGACTCGAACCCGGGACCGCCGGATTGCAAGTCCGACGCGCTGACCGCTCGGCCACGCTGCCTCCTCTAAAGGGTTAACTAAATAACTGAAAACAGCACAAAAATGCCTAATAATTAATTTCTTGAGTATTTTTTTCTCACTTTCTCCAGGAAAGTGGCTCCACAGAAAACAGTGGTAAGTTGCTTGTAGTTTTATGCTGATTGCACAGTAAAAGAAGTAGCCATGGTTACATGTACATGTTCATTTCATTTTCATCCCTTGTTTTTGTAATTATTTTTTTCTGGTCATCATTATAACTGCTGTACAAACATCCTCTAATGGTAGCTTTGGGATTGCTTGTTTTGTTTTTAACCTGCTCTTTGATCATATAGTTTAGCCACCGGAATCTTAATTTGATGGCTTGTTGTAAACAATGTCACTGATTTATTTCCTTTTCTTTTCTTTTCTTTCCTTTTCTTGCGATGCATTGTTCACTTAAACAGAAAAAGACTCTTCCACCCAAGGTAAGTTTGGCTTAAGTCTTATTGGTATTACTAACACTCCTTTCCCATTTTTCTGGTGTCTTTGTTCTACGTGTAGATTGAAAAACGGTTGTTAACAAGAGAAATGCCTAGGGACGAGGTCGATGGGAGAACTACTCTTATTATGAACAATTCCCCCACAAAAGAATTGAATCATTGTATAGAATTGTGATGTCAATCCATTATGTAATACAGTATACTGTGAATACCTATTCTTCACCTTAGAGTCTTTTGACTCTTTCGCGCAGTCTTAATCAGAATACTGAATATCTTAAGAGTTGTCACGTGACTTATACCGTCTATAGCCAATGATGAGCTCGACTGGGAAGAGGTCAAAATCCTTCAGCAGGAGACCGTGGACATTAACAGAAATATCAAGGAAAAAACTCTAAAATGAAGATAAGGGTTTGAACTACCCTCGTTTTTAATCCTTTGTTTTCACGTGACAACTCTGGGACAGTTTGCTGATAAGACTGCCTGGCACAGTCAAAAACTTTATTGCTTTTAAATATGAGACCTTGTGACGTAAGGTATTCTTTCAATTGGTATGTTTAAGTTGTGATACGTTGTATGTTTTTTGTCATTTTATTTATTAACATTGTTGATTTTTGTTTTTGCCCTCAACAGAAAGGCAACTTTGTCAACGTAGTTCGTAAAGCTCAAGCCGCCGCATGGGAAGAAAAGTTCATGGCGATGAAAGCCAAACAGAAAGAATCCAACAAGGTCAGTTTCAAGCTCTTTTCTTTCAGCACGAGATTTCAGATCCTGTCGGTGCTGTTGACTCTTAAATCACTTTAACTGTTAATAAGTTGTTTTATTTGCGTCCCCGCAGTCGTATGGGACTTGTTTTCCAAAGTTATAAAGTGTGACACTCGAAAAAGGTTTCTCTCTTACTTTTGCTTTGCGTCTCGATTTGAAAGTGTGACACCAGTCGGTCTTGACGGTTTCTAATTGTTCGGAAAGTCACGCAATGTCGTCCTCGGCTGTCGTTTACCGTTAAATCCTGTATTGTAGGAGGACAACAACTGCAGGTATTGTCCTTTAGGGCTGATTTCCACTGTCGCGTAATTTTTCCGTGCGAACGCACGTACAAAAATGAACTAAAGGCAGTGTATGAAGGGCCACGCTTAAACGCGTTAACCTCGCTCAACTTTTACGTGTACCAGTGACCTTCCATACATTGCCTCTATTTTATTTACGCGCGTAAAATTTACGTGCGTACGCACGTTAATCCTCAAGTCTCGAACGCAGCGCAGCGTCTTAGGTCTACGTGATACTACCATATGCACGGGCGGACCCTGTCACCGGCTATTCTCTTTGAGTAAATTCTTATTGTGAAACGGCATTCGAAGACTACCAAAAACCGATTTTGAATCATATCAGCCTTCTGATCAAAAGAGTTCGAGTTGAAAATTCATTTTCTTCATTGTTAATCACTATGTTGTTCGCATTTTCGTTTGCGTCCGACTGTTCCGACGTCGATTTTTTTCCCGTTATTTAACCGACTTTAGTCAGAAATGCCTTCTATACCCTTCCGTCGATGGACTTGACATTGATGAAGTTGTTATCTGAGAAAAGCTGCTGAAAAAGGAAAAAAGGTTCGTTGAACGTGAAAAAGTCCCTGTATTTTAAATATGTTCGAGTTAGGTAGCCTAAACTGAAAAGACTGCTTGCTATCAATTTTATAGCTATTGTATATAGCCTGGAAGACCGTTGAATTTATTATTTTCTAGGTCTGGTGTTTTACTGTGGATGGTGCACGATAACAAAATATTACACTATCAGCAGGAAAAAAGCCATCTTTTTATGTTAAAAAGAGAGGGTTCAGAGCTACCTGCTGAGAGAAATTAAACCTTAACTCTAAACCCTGGAAAGTTTTCCAGACGTGAATTTAAAATTATCAGGAAAAGAAGTTCCCTAAAGTGTTAGGGACTTTTAAAAAAGAATTCTGACTGTCTTCCTCTTGCCTTGTTTGTAGATGAGCGAGGAGCTAATGAGTAAAATGAACCGCGTCAAACGCACGGACAGCCCACTGTTAACTGGACTGAAGAAGGACAAAAAAGGTAAGAAGAAGGAAGAGAAAGAAGAAGCACCAGCTTGGGCGAAGAGTCAGCTGAAAAAGGGATCAACCAAGCCATGGGGTGATGAGAAGAAGAAAGAGGCGGACAAAAAACCCGACTGGTCGGGAAGGGTGGCACTCAAGAAGACCGAGAAGAAAGAAATGGGAGACTTAGGCGAGAGCAAACGTCAGGACTGGCGGGAAGGTCTCAAAAAAGCACCTAAAAGTCCCGGTATCGAAAGCGAGGGAGGGGAACCCGAATGGAAAGCTGTGAGCTTGAATAAAGTCCCAAGAAACGAAGACGACGATTAAACTAACTAAAGTTTTTTAGGATTCTTGATTAGGTAGTTTGCTATGGAAGTAAGTTTCTAAAAGCGTTTTAGAATAATGATTTTTAAGGCTCTTTTTGTATGATTTTTTTTAAGCCGAGTAAATTGTGTATTGTCCTCGTTGAGATTTAGCTCATGAAAACCCGTTAACATGGGGTGGGGGTGGAGGGAGGCCCATATCCACCTGGAAACTGCTGTTACTTTTTAACCAGCCTTCCTCCACACACCTTGCTGGTCCGTGATTTGCTCTCTTATTCTCTGCACCTCAATGCCTGATTATAGATTACGTTCATGAGGTGAAATATTTTGCTGAGAATCTCTGACGTTGCCGGAGTATAGCCAAAACAGTGTCAACAAAAGGCGCTGTCTATAGGGACAGTTCGCAACATGCCAGAGAGGACATTGAACAGTAGATTCATTAACGGGGTAAACCCAGTAGTAAACAGTATTTGAATTCTCCTTATAGCATGATCACGGCTTAATCAATCATATAGGTCAAGAGAATAAGGGCAGTCGTCACCGTTGTATAGTGTTCTTATCATTACAACAGGAAATACATTGGAAGACAGTGTAAAGAATATGTGTGCAGATCTGAACAATTGAAAACGGTTACACTGATCCCAAGGCCAAAGGGTATGGGTTAGCTATTTAAACGGAGTTAAGGCAGCGCGCAATATGACCGCATTACAAGTCATTTTCTTATATTGGCCAGTTCTACTAAACAAGGGCGGATCTTTGAGAGTAGTGTCGAGTAGACAAATGGAGAACCCACTTAAGAAGTCCAGCGACTGTTTAGTTAGTCTGATTGGGTTACATTGATTGTTGTAACCTTTGTCACCGTAAGTTAACTGCGTATGATTTTGGTACTTACGAGACGTACTCCTGCTCTCTGTGTAATGCAATCACTTTGCAATGAAAGAGTTCGTGGTTTATTATATGCATTCAAAAATCTGCATTGGGAAAGATGAATTTTATTTGCAAAAGTTTCAGTGTTTTTGTTGTTGTTTGTATAAGCATTTTGCTTTATAAGTCCTTTATAATTAATTTCGCCGATAAAACATTTTTGATACAAGAAATTTTTTAAGTGAGATATATCCTGTAGTCGGGCTGCATTAAATGCCGGAGTTATATCGTCGTTTGTACTTCGTTGCATTTTCTATAATTCAATAAAGTCATTTTTCTACGATGTGGTTTGGCTGACTTCATGGTGCCGTTTTGTTGCTTGATATATCCTTTCACTCGTCATTGACTCCGTGACGCCCCCCAAAATAAAAGGGGCTCTAGTAAAGGTCTAGTAACTTTCTGGTGTGAACACAAATGGACGCCCACTAAATACGGACTCAATTTTATTGCGCCGGGCAAGTTTTTTTATCCTTAGGGAACGTCATGTCCCTCTGCTAAGCCCCTCTGCTATCCTAATTTATTGACACAAAAAAGCGTGTACCTATGCAAAGATCGCCCCGTGTAAGGGATTCCGGAATCCGTGAAATTTTTGCGTGTAGAATCCGGAATACAGCTCAAGGAATCTGGAATCCCACTAACGATTGGAATCTGACCTCGGAATCCGGAATCCAAATTCCACTGACAAAGACTAGAAACAAGTACCTGGAATCCAGAATCCACAGCGTGGAATCCAAGACAGCCTTACATGGGGCAACAAAGAGTTCCCAAAAGGAGTGGTTTGGGACATCATAGCGTCGTGTCTGAAATCGCCGTATTAATGTTTGGGACACCAACAAGGCGGACGCGACGTATGTGAAAAGCGTCTGTACGGTCATCCCAAAAGGCAGACCTAACGGACACTCCGTACTTCTCTTGTCCAATCAACAGACTCACAAACAGTTAAATTGGCTAATATGGACACCTATTGTCAACAGTGAGCTGTAATAAGTCTTGCCTATTCTTTAAGTAAAAAACCTTAGTAGGATGACAGCATAAGGATGTTCTCACTCAGCTGAGCTGCTGCAGACGAAATACGAAAAATTCCGACTATTTTGGTGACTACCTTTTTCAAGTTCCACTCAATATTCCAGGAAATCGTCTCGTGGAACACCCGAAAAACGTGTGTTCTATTGAAATCTCATCCGGAGATTGTGTAAATTCTTAGTAAACTGAATGACTCAGCATGACCCACTAAACTGAACCCTCTTTAGGAGCCCCACCTCCTCAAAACCCTGGCTGTTAGTTGTATGCAAATGTGTCTCGAGCGGACTCTACTGCGCATGTGCCCCACCTTACATAGGCCCTTTAAGAAGACAAAAGAAGGCTGTGCTCGCAGGGTGTCTAACCATTTGCAAAGCGTATAAATTGCGACGAAATTGTATTTCACTGGATAAAAACTGGTGACAAGCATCCAAATAGCTCGGAGAATGTTGTTCGGGCGGAAACTTTAGATCAGAAACTTTGGCCAAAAATTCGGCTGACGTGCGATCGTTTAAGTCCATGTATTTCGGACGTTCAATCTTGTGTGATTTCGAGCTCGGCACGCTGAGAAGATTTAAAGTAACGTTGAATCAGTCTATTGAACGCTGCTTATCTTAAAAACTTCTGCATAACGTTCAACTTTGAGGTCGGTCTTAAAAAAATGTTTTTAGACTGATACCCTTTTATGTTTTCTAAGCTTTGCATCTTTTCTCTGTACTAGTTCTCAATGTAACCCTAGTTAATTTCAGTCGTTGAAGATTTGTGACACTTCTTAGTCTAAAAATTTTCGTTTCTGGAGATTGTTGTATTTTAAGTATCGATTATTGATTACAGGGGCCAGAGTGGGCTCGTAAAGGCAAAGAGCGGGGCCCTCTTACCGAAAGACCAAAAGAAAAAGCCGAAGAAAAACCGAAGACTAAACCAAAGCCCGAATGGACGAAGACCTCTCTACGAAAGAAAGACACAAGCAAACAGGCAGATACAAAGTCCGAATATTGGAAAGAGGCAAGACCTAACTGGGCAAAAGGAAAGAGTTCATTATCTAAACCTAATGAGGGAACTTTAAAATCTCTTGGAAGATCAAAAACAGGAAAAGATGACATATGGGAGGAGACGCGTCCCGATTGGGCCAAGGGCAAAAGTCCCGTCGATAAACCCAAGGACAGTTTCATAAAGGAGCTAGAAAAGAAAGCATCTTCAAAAAAGAAAGATATATGGGAAGACGAGCGGCCAGACTGGAGCAAAGAAAACAGTCCTGTAGTTAAGCCAAGCGCAAAGGACATTCGGAATATTGAAGAAAAGAAGAAATATAGTTATCCCACACCTGAGTGGACATCGCGCGTCCGGAGCAAACACAAGGTGAGATGGACTCTTTTCTCCTCCGCAGAGGCTCTCACTGAGAAGTTCAAACATAAAATACATGTAAAAATAATTGAAAGATAGTGCGCGCGAGGGGAGCGAAGCGAAGAAGAAATTCAGTTAAAAAATGGAGGGAGCCTCTGTTTTTCACTTTCCCTTCCCACAATCCACCGCGCGTTTTCGTATCGCCTCTCCTCGTCATTCTCTAACGTGCGAGCAAGCTATCCTATTTGGGCGAGCGAAGCGAGCCGCGAGGGACGCGTGCCGCTCGCGCGTCTACTTTTCACGATAGCCCCAAAATGGAGAGCTTGCTTACAGGCTAGTCATTCTAGTGAAGCATAGGCAAAGGAAAAGGAAAAAGATGGGCTTGAAATAGGGATTACTCTCACTTTGGGAGGGGTGGAAATTAGAATAGTCCTTTTAGCAATAATAATAACATTTATTTATACCGCGCAAATTCAACTACTGTGTGCAGTTTTGCAGTTTTCAAATGCGCCTGAATGGCCTATACGGGAAGGCTCCGCCCGAGAGGGGTACTTTGTTCAGGCCTGTGGCATATGAAAGGGTACTAGGGATTTCACTAGTTGAAGTATATGAAAGGGTAGCAAAATCTGTCATTTCGGCCTGAAATGCCTTGCCTTAAAAGGCTATCAAGCATTTTGTGGCCATGAAAAATCGAGAAAACGTTCTGGTTTTGTGTTAAATTCATATTTTAAAGAAAGTGCATTTTCAGCGGTTAAAAGGGCTGCAAAGTTCTAAACTAATATAGGTCCGTGAAAGGGGTACCATTTGTCAATAGGGGGTATACAAAAGGTGGTTACCTTTTCTTTCAAAAATGGTATATAAAAGGGTAAGGGGTTGGACCTCAGAGCGGACCGTTCCCGTATAAAACTTTGTTGAGTAACCCTCGGGGCGCTAATGTTTAAGCCAAATTGCGCCAGGGACATAAAAATATTAATTGGGATGAGTGATTGATGATTCTTTGTCGTAGAAAGGAGGATGATTTTTATCCCTTTCCTGTTATTTAAAGAAGGACGTAGAGGAAGAAGACGGTAAAAAGAGTTTGCTTAAGGCTGAGCTGGAGAATGTTCTCGGCAAACCGAAAGACAAAGTAGTAGTAAGTTCTCATTTTTTATTTTTCCTAAATTTATTTGAACTTTAACTTTTCCTCAACATCTTTAATTATAACCCAAGGTGGTTACTGGTGCAATCGAAGCAACATGATATTTTGACGTCAGCTGTTATGAAAGAAGAAAAACAGACGGTCGATGGCGCTTATTAGCTATTAGGTCAAACAAAACTTTTATTTGAACGTTTCCATTAATACAAAGTAGGTTGCGGGCTTGCATAAAGAATATCAATAATCAGTTAAGAACTGTCGTAGTTATTCAAATTGGAGAGATGTCAGTTATGTTTTTTTTGTGCGATTTTCTACCATTTAGAAAAGACGTCATTCCTCTGACGGCTTGTCGGAAAGTTACCTCGCAGGCATACGGTGAGTACTGAGTAGATGATCTCAGACCGAGTGAACCCAACAGGGGTACTAAGGATTTCAAGGAACGGGAATGATCGAAATAAGGCAGAAATGAATGAAAACCCCCCAAAATCCGGAATCATTATACGTATCTAGGAAACTGCCCACATAACCCTCCCCTAAGCCAACATTTTGTCCTAAGTGAGAAGTAAGTGTTAAAGTTGGCTTAGGGGAGGAGTAGATGGGCAGTTTCCCTGAAACGTATTATGATCCAAAAATCCTTAGTGCTTTCTGAAAGGAACGAAAGACAACCCTAAACCAGACTTCATACCTCCATAAAAACGGAACGGAAAATTTCAAACCTATAAGAATCCTATGGTCATTCTTGTCACTTTAAACTTCTCCTTCCTCTTGGAGTGAAAAGCGTGTAATTCAAGTTCCTCACAGTACTCAATAAACAAGTAGTCAACAGATTGTGTGCTAGGGTGTTGTTGTAGAATGAAATGAGTGGATGGGCGGATGTGATGATTGGCGAATAAGGCCTTTTTAATTTCTGTTTATAGTGAAATGGTGGTATTACTTGTTTTGTTGCTTTCATGGCCGCATTTGTACCACTTCACCAAGTTTCCCCTTTACTTATCGTTTACTGTCCATTATTTCTACACATAAGAATTGTTTAGAGCTGTTTTTACCTGCTCAGTCCTATTTTGAGAAATTCTTAACTTGAATCAGACGTTTGCCGTTTGCCGTATATTTAAAGCTTGAACTCTCTATTCAGCCATTCTTTGTAACACAAGTCGATTCTTGTTACTGACCTAAAGTATCGCAGCCTGTGAAAACGAGATTGACCGTATCGTACAGACTTTATATAAGCACGCGTACTCGTGCATCATTGAAACGTATTTTGTTTCTTGCGCTTTCTGACGATACTGAATGTATACCTTGTGGCCCTTATGTGACCTTCCTGGTAAGGTTTGATTTCCTTTTTCCCGTTCACAGACCCTCTATTTTCTCTTTAGAGATCGTCGAGCGCGCGTATGAAAATAGAACCCACGGGTGACCGCAAGCCTAAGGGGGTGGGGGTGGGGGTGGGGAAAGGAGACAATGAAAAAAAATGTGTTTCCCTCCTCTTTCTACCTCTCTGTCTCTTTTTTGGTTTTTTCTCGCGCTTCGTGATCGTTCTCGCGTGCTCACCAAATTGTCCAAAATAAGAAGAACGTCTGTGGACAGTCTAGATTTCTTTGATGTTTTCAATCTTTCACACCTAGTTTGTCTTTAACGTCTATCCACAGAAAATTTGCTGATCACCGCCTAAGTCTGCGAGTGAAAACTAGACACCGTCCAACAAGCAACCCTATAAAGAAGTTAATGTCACGTGACGACATAAGAAGCGAGCTCTGAGTTCAGTTTGTTTCGTGACGCGATCTGGGTACAGCAACCGCGCCACGTAGGATACCGCGTCAGTCAATCTGTGGAACATTCACAAAAGGTTGTATAATTATCTGCTTACGAAAGGACATTTTTCTTTGGAATGTCTGTATTTTATTATTGTTCAGTGAATGGAAGAGTGGAGAAAATTATTTATTATCAAAATAACCATGCAATGCCAAGTCCGAGCTAACCCGCGTTAATATTATTGTAGGCGATAATGCCTTAATTGTAACTTTATTATATGAACAGGAGTTTGCCTTGAGATTGCCTTATCGCCTATAAAATAAGCAAGCTATACTAGTGCTAGCCCTGATCTCAGGACCTACAGCGGACGATGGATTAGTCTTGAGAGTAAGCTAGGATCCACAAGGGATAATACAGGGGGAAAAAGCATTGTAGTGACGTGAGTGAAACGATATGCAAACCTTTTGCGATATTTGGTAAGTTGAACAAGGGGCGCCATGTTCTGTGGGAAATATACGAGATTAAAGGTTATCGTTTGTGTCTAAAGGATGCGCGACTTTGCGAAATGTAAACAATTCCCGCCATACGATAGTAGTCATATGCAATATTTACTGTTGTGCTTTGAGCCGGTTATATACAACAAGAGAGAATGTGAGAGCTTTTTCTCTCTTGTATACAATCAATGGTTTATTCATGCAGTTAACTGCAGAGCTGGGGTAATTTTTTTAGTCTACTCATCTAATGGTTACGAGCTCAGCCCGTACTACTGAAGTTGTGGATGAGAGCTGCGCCGGGGATTGCTAAGCTGGAAAGAAGCGAAAGAGTCACAGGAGGCTCTGCGTACCAAATGCATCCATAACTCTTCAGTAACCCTTAGCCGTTAATCGTTTGTTTTATAAGAGGAAAACCTTCCAACTGTGTATACAGGTAATAGAGAGTCAAGAGCTTGCGCGAGCGATTGCTTGTACAAATCACGCTTGGCCAAGACCACTAGTTCCGCTGATGTTCTCCCTGTTTTCATGTAAGTGTACATTTTTCTCAGTTGTTATCCTGAAGGTCTTTTGAACACTTGCTCTAAATATTGTGATAAGAAACTTTCGAAAATCCGCCATTTGAACACATTGCATCTGCGTCAGTATGAATTGCGTGCCTGGGGAACTCGCTAGATTTTGTCATTGGCTACCTTTGGGCGATCAAAGGCAATTGTTATATAGCTGGAAATTTCTTCCCAATAGTGCGCATTGGTTACTTCGAGGTCACATGACATCGAACAATAAAAGTGTTGCCCGCCAAAATCTCTGAGCGGGCAGCATTGCAAAATCTATGACGTCAGAGGGTAACGGTACACTGTTAATCGCCAATGTTGACCTACGACCGCCGTTACAGCGAGGTGTAATGAATTTCCAGCTATAAAACAATCACTTAAAGACTGGTCCCTCGGAAAACAAAACATTGCTAAATCTATGACGTCAATGGGTAACAGTGCACTGTTAACCGCGAATGTTGACCGACGACCGCCATTACAGCGAGTTTCACTGAATCTCCAGCTATAAAACAGTCACTCAAAGACTGGTTCCTCCGGAAACAGCTAATTTTGTTTCGCGAGAATCTCAATGTTGGGAGTTTTTCTCAGGACCAGTCTCTACTTGGTGGATTATATTGTCCACCATGCTTACACCTAATCATATTTTTTTTTGCCAATATCGTAGAAACAATTTTTTTCGTGGCCTATATCAGGACACTTATATACGCCATATTAAGACAAAGAAGGCCTCAGTAAACTGCTGTACTAAAACTGCCTAAATCAAACAACATTGTAGCGGAAACGGTGTACATCCTAATGTGGCTTAATTAGAAGCCACGTGCTTCGGAAGCTAAATTTGCTCCGGAAAGTAAAATTTTTTACTTTGGTTCATTAACATTATGATTTTCCTATGTCCATTGAACCAGGAAGCAAAAGTTGCGTCCACGACGTCGTCTCTCGCGCAGGTGCAGCTATTGCTAAGAAACTTGAGCTTTCCTGGCCCCAATATGTCTGCTTCTGGGGTCCAATCCAGAAGCGTCGTTGTCTTAGGACGCCTGTAAAACGAGTGGATCGTCTTGGGGGTAAACATCTCTCGGCCCGTAGAACGTGTAGGTCCTCTCACGACTTGGATCTTCAATAGTTATCTGTTGTAGAAAAAAATAGGATCAAAGCGCAACAGGCAAAGGAGATCAACGATTAACCTCTGTCTACAAATTGATTCTCCTAGTTCATACGGCGGGGATTCATAATTCTAGTTTCTTTCTTGTAGAGAAACCTTCTCACTCGACTCTCATTCCACATCTCCTTTCTTTGACAGCTACCAGCTCCTTTTTCGGTCAGTCAAGGCTTGCTAGGAATGGGGAGAACGGAGCTAGAGAGAAGAGGAAACCTTCTCCTCCGTTTCAGTCTCGTTCACTCGCACGTGACATGCTCACCTGCGGGACAACCCCGAGGGACTGCTAGCAGTCTACTCCCTTCTATTTTGCCCTGGCTCATCTCCTCGATCTGAAGTCCTCTAAGTCCCAGGTGGGCACACAAAGACGTTTTACGGTATGCGGGAAAGCTCCACCCCGAGGCCCAACCCCTTACCCTGTAATATACCCCTTTCGTAAGCCATCTGTTGACCGTCAAATGATACCCCCTTCTAACCGCTGTAAATGTACTGTCTTTTAAAGATGAATAAACCACCAAACTAGGAAGTTTCCGTGACTTTTTCATAGCCATAGAATAAATCTTTTAGCCCTTCTGGGTCCTTTTACATCCCGAAATGACAGTTTTCCCTACACTTTTTATACTTCAACTCATGAAAATCTCACCCTTTCATGTACCTGAAGCCTGATAAAGGTCCCCCTTTCATGCAAAGACTCCCCCTATAGGATAATATAGGGAGTACCCCCCAGGTTGTGAGTGCTAGCTAGTGGCTTATCTGACCCTGATTCTTTGCATGCGTGAAGGGAACAAAGGGAACAGTAAGGAGTTTTAATGAATAAGCTAGTAAGACAAGGAGACTACATGTAAATCATGGAACAGTTCGCAGTTGATTCTAGTTCGTTTCTTGAGGCATGCTTTTTACCCCTCTTGATGCATTCTCTTGCTCTAATATGGTCCCAAGCAGGCAGACCGTATTTACAAGGCTTCAAACTTGGGTAGTAGGCAATCAAAACCGTAAACTACATCTTCTATAACGGTGGTTTGGTCAGAAGTAACCAAGACAAAATTTACGAGTTACATGTCCTATCCTCGACTTCAGTGTCTTATATCAAGGATAATTTGCACCAATAAGAAGTATAAATTCATTAACTTAAAGGCTAGAGTACAAACTTATATCGGACTTGCAGGACTTGCAGAGACCTTTTGTTTGGTCCAGGAGCACCATTTATTGTTCTAACCTGCGAATTGAGCGATTTTCGTATGACCTTGAAATGAAAACGCGCGAACAAAACAGAAACAACAAACGACCCTAAATAGAGTGATTTGATTGGTTTATCGAACGGATACAATCGCGCCTGGCTTTTGGTTGGTTAAGCGAACGCACGGGTGCCCGAGAAGTTTCTAGAAATCAACCGATACTTCGCTTTGACGTCACACTGCAACACAATTGGCCAGTCGAACAATGCCTTATCCATATCAGGGTTTTCTTTGGCGGGAAAACGAAGAGGCCATGTTTTGATCTTTTCATCCATTGACTGTTAAAACACATGACGAACACTCAACGAAGCCATTTTTCAAGGTCATACGAAATCGCTATAGCCGTCTCTATAGTCGTCTCTCTCTCCTATTTATTTTTCTAACTCTGGTTAGTAGGAACCACCTGCATACCTGATTGGTATATCTGTGACGATCGTTACTTCAATCAATCGTTTTTGAAATTTTTCAGGGGAAGAAGTAGATAAACGAGTCTAATCATTACAGTCCTGCATGTTAACGGCGAATGTCGAATTGTATCATGTGGCCGAAATATTCCTCTTGTCTTGTAAAGTTGAGTATTAGGTACTGAGTAGTTTCATGCCATTCACCCGCAAGAATCATTTTGTGAGAAATCGTCAACTTGAATGTGACGTTGGCCCTTCTACTTCTACTTCTACTATATTACTTCGCAAAGCCTGTACAGCATCACGCGAAGGATCCGTATATCAAGGTTGACCACAACACCGGGGTCTACGACCCCTACTCCGTACGAACAGTGTGTGGGTTCTTTAACGTCCCACAGTATTAATATAGGCAAGGATTGTGAGACGGGGCCTACGGTTTTTCGTCCTTATCCGAGAAGACTAGAAAGTCTAACCATTTGCGGATGTCATTACAAAGGCAGCACTTTCTTCTCAGTTATTGTTAAGACCCTGAGTGTTGGTCCGGCCGGGGCTTGAACCCGCGACCTTCCGCTCAACAGACCGGTGCTCTCCCAACTGAGCTAACCAGGCGGCGGCGGCCCTTTGTTACAAAGTGATTCTAAACGGCCCTCTCACGTGGTTCCGAGGATATCGACAATAACGGGGCTACCTGTCGATATGCTTATAGTCTCATTAGACCTACCTCGTCAACTGTCCAGCCCTCGCCTAAGCTGCCAGTCGTTTTCAAGTCGATTGCAATTTGGTCAATGATCCCTACATCTTGAAACTCCACTATAAAGTGATCCGTGCTAAGATGTTAGATTCAATATTCCATAGTTAGTAAACTGACAAAATCATCGAGCAGATACGTCATCCAAATAGAAGAAGAGAAACGAAGTTAAGCATTTTGTCATAAGTACATGATCGAGGGTTGGTTTTTAATCATCGTGTTCAAGGCTGGAAAAGTCTTTGCTGAGATATACTTTGGACTTTTTTGAAATGATACTTAGAAAAACAAAATTCGGACAAAACTCAGATAGCTTGGTTTTTAATAGGAATTAAGTCATGACCAGAATGCAAATTTTTCAGACTATATCACAAAATTTGTTAATAATAATAATAATAATAATAATAATAATTTAAAAATTCGTTTTAGCGCGCAAATACCGTAAAATTCCGAAAATAAGCTCCTCCATGTATAAGCCCCTCCAAATATAAGCCCCGCAAACTGGTAACACAAAAAACCCTCCGTTAAATCGCCCCTCCAAATATAAGCCCCCGGGGGCTTGTACTTGCAAAATTTCCCTCAAATACAAAGTAAAACAAAGCAAAAACGTTAAAGTTACTTCCAACTATAAGGCTAACACAATCGATTTTGAAACGCAGGTTTCCCTCCGTAGATCAGAGACGATCAGTATTAGATAGCTTTGCAGGTTAAAAAAGTCCAGTTTTAAAGCCATGTAAAATTATAAGTAATTTCACGATGGCACGCAAATACAAGAAAAAGGAAAAAATGACGAATAGGGTCTCCAGTTAAGGCCTCGTCCAAACGAATCCGGCTATTTTTTTAAACCGCATATTCTGTAATATGAATCGACCTTAAGTCCGCACGATACCACTGAAACCACTCTCACCTTTTGAAACCGCCCTTCAAACAATCTCCTACCCAGAGTCCTCGGGCTCTTTGGTCAGCGGGTAGCTGCGTAAAGTCGGTAGGTAATTGATGTATGGGAACATATATTGTACCGACATTACTTGAATCCATTGTAGCAAAGCTGATTACCAAGTCGACCACCATTTGACCAAAGAGGCCGAAGACTGTGGATACGAGATTGCTCTTCAGAGTGCGGGTTAAATACCCCGGGTACAAAATTGTGTGGGTTCAAAAATGTTTGGATTTGTGTGGACGGGGCCTTATGAGGAGTTGTTCAACTGAATTCTTCGAATGAATTGATCCCCGTTGGCCGTGAATTAAAGATAAGTAGCCTGAATAAATTTCATCGAGCACTGTATTGCAATCTAAAAGCATCCATCCCTCCGAAAGGTTGCAAGTCAGAGGCTATCACTCGGAATAGGCCATTTCCGAGTTCCCCCCGGGCCTCTGTTTCAAAACGAGGGTAGGTGCTCAGCCTTTAATGTGGAAATCATTTTTCATTCTCATGCAAATAAAACTCATTTTCACAAGAAAGGTTGTGCACCTAGCCTCATTTTGAAAGTGAGGGTTTTTGGAACTCGGAAGTGGCGTATTGAACTTACCTGCCTGTTTCGAAATCTTCCTGCTCGCTAACTATCTCAGTCAACCCCGATTTTGTTCCGTCAGTGCCCATGAGCGCGATGTACAATAAGGCGTCTGTACCTGCTCCATGAACATCGCTCGTGATAACAGTCACCCTGAAGCTCGGAGTTCCAGTCGACTGGATGCCTTGAGTCGTGGTAGCTGTCAATTGTGTGGTTGAGACAGTTGAAGGCGTCAATTGAGCAGCTAAGACCGTTTTCACCTGCGTGGGAGCCACAGAAGGTAACATCTGGGTGTTTGCAGCCGGGCTAGATATCCAGTTAGTCGGGTTAACTGTAAGTGTTAATTGTGCAGTAGCGACCATTGTGGGTGTCCACCGCGTTGGAGCCAAGGTAGATTTCGACGGGGATTTTGCTGCAAGGGTAGATATCTATTTAGTCTTTGTAGATAAAATATACATCAGCTGAACGTTTGCGACCAAAGCAGAAGACGGAATGGAAATAAACTTGGCTGGAGTCAGCATTGACAATTAGGTCATAAAAACTTGTTATAGCGCAATGAAAAGATCATGGATGCGTCTACAAAAGTGGCCATGTTCGCTTCGAACGCCTTATTAATAGACTTTCCTTCATTATAAGAGCCTTCTGTTGAATAGAAGGCGCCTTTTGTTCTAGTCAGACCTCATTTGTCTCGAAATCCTAGCAGAAAAACGACCTAAAAATCCAGTTCAGAGCTGGGGGAAAATATTATTAAAAGAAACGGATTCCAACGCTTTGAAACAGTTGACCAGTTTTTTTGAACTGAATTTCGGCTATGGCAGAGAATTCAAATACTAGCTGGAAAAGAAGTTTGTCCACAGACTATCAAAAAAATTAAGCATCACTGAGTAACTGAGTTGTAGAAAAGGTAGCAAAAGTATAAAAAACGTTTTAAATTTACGGACGAAGAACTTTTGTTACCTGTTACAATAATTGTTTCACAGTAAGTTCCAGTCCACAATCTGTCACACAAACAGCTGTAGCTTTTGGGTCCATTAATGCATGATGCACCATTCTCACATTGATGTCGGAAGCAGAAATCTGCAACTAACGATCAAGCATTTTAATAATGAAAGTTAACGGTGCATCATATCTACGTAAGCAAGGTTTAATTAAAACGTTTTTCCATGGTCTCGTTTAGGAAAACTCGCCTGCTAAGTTTTACTATTAAGATCGCAGGTTTTTCTTGACTGCGAGCAAAATTTGACTGGGGAAAACTAATTCAAATTTCGGCTAAATTTATGACCGGAACTTTCATTCCTTTTTTACCGTTACTATTTGGAACTAATACCCCTGGCCAGAATGTTTTGTGTGAAATTTCATGAACATCACTCACACAAAGAAAATAAAGAGTCTCAAACCTTCTGTATTCATGTCACAATAAGCCAGTATAGCCTCTCCTGAACTCAAAGGATCCAACCAGAAACTACCGCTGACAACTACTCCTGCTTCATTTGCTTTGATTTCCCGGCACGATTCACCAGGCAGCGAAGGAGTGGAGCCGAGGACAACTGTGAAGAGCAACATAGGAGTGGGGGGGTGGGGGAATCTTCATCTAAAATACTCACCAACTCAACCTAGTTCTTAGGCATTCTCTCTTGCCCTGTTGTCCGCGCGATGTTTGGGAAAAGGTGGGCGAGAGAACGAGTCGACATCGAGTCGAGTCGAGTCTCTCTTGGTGACGTCACAGCTCACGGTAGTTTCCAGGTTTGACCGAGCCGAGAACGCCTATGGACTTGGCTGTCACCAGGGCGGATAAAGGTTGGGCGGTGAAACGAGCGCGTCCGAGCAAAAAGGTGTGATGCAGTGGACTGGGACTCTGCTTAGAAATGTCGCTTGTTTTCGACTTCGGTCAGGGCTTGCGATCTGGTTTGTACATTAGACACTGCCGCTGTCACTGAATTATGGCGGCTTGATTTGTTTTCTTGCACTTCTTCCTCGTTCTTTTGTGCTGGTACGCTGTCTCCGAGAGGCAAATGTTGCTATTTTTTGCGGGAGGTTTAGTTGGAGTAGACAAACATCTCTTTCAAAGGCTTTAAAATTCCTTTATTACTTCCATGACTCTACCACTTACTTATATTTTCATTCTACTACTCGCCAATGTCGATGTTATTCCAAAACAAAAACAACTAAGTACTGTCTAAAACACGAAAGAAAATCATGCCATCCATGGCAAAACTAAAAGACAGCAGATGGTGTTTCATAACTAGATGACGTGTATTTTATAAATGCGTGCAGCTCGTGCAAGGTAAAATTATGCTAATTTCAATCACCATCATCCTTCTTTTTACTTTTGAAAAAAACATCTCATACGTCTTTCTGTTTCTTCGAAACTTCAGAATTAGTTTCCCCTCAGTTTTTATTGTTTACCTTGTTTTGTTTTAGAGAGAAAAACGGAGAAAAAACCTTACAACTAACCTCAACAAATTTTGTTTATATGCGGTTGCCGGATTTGCAACGCGTTGCGCGAATCGCCATGGCGCGTTACACCCGAGAAGCAAAGTTTGAAGAAGTACAACGCCACTATATCAATATATATCAATCTAATTTTTCGTTTTGTTATATAAAATTTATCCCCCTTTAACATAAGTAAAAATTGAGGTTAAGAAGTGTTAAGCTTTTGAGAACGAAACGGCGAAAGACGATTAGGTGATATTTAGTGGAAGGAGGAGGAATTCAACACTTTCAAATTAAACTCAAATTTTGGCATTATACGACCAACAGGTTTGACTTATAGGCATACAGACACAAAGATATGAAACTGCTTATTGATACTGTTATGAAACGAATTTATCTATTTAACATTGTAGCCTGAAATTACAGAAAGAAAATAGGATTTCCGGTTTGCAAAAAGGAAAATTTCGCCGGCCTTCAAGCGCACCGGAAGCGCGGAAAGAGCGCTCGTGCCAGTCCTACTCCGCATCACACATTAAATGAAGAGCGGAGCGCTCGTTTCACCGCCCAACATTTATCCGCCCTGGCTGTCACTTGCCCTGTCCGTGTAGGGCTTCCCAGGCCTTCTCGGTTGGTACATCCGAGACGAACCCAAAAACAAAGCTAGGACCTCGTGACCCGAAACGCATAGGCCACGCTGAATAATGAAGCCTAGGGCCCAGGTAAGGCTGGTACGACTGTCACTAACTATGTTGCTAAACTCCTATCAGTGTCATAAATGTTAGATGTTCCAAAAAAGAAGTCACTCTCGAATACTAGAAACACTTCTGAAGGTAAAACCACAACGACAAAGTAATGAGGGTCCGCCGGATCTTAAGTAGACCTGGATCAGTAAAATCTTGAGTACCAATTTTTAAAAATCAAGTGGTGAATAATATAATTCACCACTTGATTTTTGTTTTCTTACTATATTTTTTCTATCAAGGATCAGTCAGTACTGTTTTAAGTTTGAAATTTGGTTCTCGAATACAGTCGACTCCCGATAACTCGAACCTTCAAGGGAAATCGAAATAAGGTTCGAGTTATCGGGAGTTCGAAGGAAATAGGTGAGAGTAAGGTAAAAAATAGTTTTTACTGCACGGGGAACATTTGAATCACATTTAATTGTAGAAATGTCAAGTGAAAATTAAAAGATACTTCTAGATTATAAATCAGAACGTAACGTAACAAAACATAGCCTAAATAGAGCATGCGTTTTACTGTTTTGAGAAGAGCAGCTGCTTCACGTTGGCATGTGACAAAAAAATCAACATCAGCCTCCACTAGTAAAGTATACTCCTTCAACACGCCATTAGGAAATCCAAAATTCAATATTTCGGACGCCAGTAGACGGCTTTTTTCCCGACTTTTAAGGGCTCAAAACATGGTTCGAGTTATCGAGGGTAAAATTATATAGAAAATGACCTGAGGGAAAACTAAAATTGGTTCGAGTTAGCGGGAGTTCGAGTTATCGAGGGCTCGAGTTACCGAGGGTAAAATTACAGGGAATGTATGACTGAAATCCAGGGGAAATCGAGTTTGGTTCGAGTTAACGCGAGGTTCGAGTTAGCGAGGGTTCGAGTTATCGGGAGTCGACTGTACTAGTTTTTCGATAATTAAACTATTTCTTACTTAAAATTGTTCATTTATTTGCGCAGAACAAAAGTTATCGGAGATAAATAATCACATCACCTCTATGAGCCCCGCGTTTCTTGTAGAGCCGCCTTTGGTCAGGCACAAATTGATTTGGTTTTGCTTCCTTGGTTCGGTTATTCATCTCGCAAATATCCTCGGCATTCAAGTAGTTATAACTCTGGCATCTGTCTTCGTAATGGCAATGATACAGACATTCAAACGGACTCGAGACTTTTATCGTCTTGAACGTATAACCTTTTAGGGCGTGGTTGGAAATTGTTTCCTGTACCGGGCATTGGTCAGCGGTTCCGCCGCGGCACCTCCATTTGAACGCGAATATACAAACCATGCAGAGCACTTTAAAATGCATTGCAACTGGAGAGAGTTCTACGTTCCTGTTACTTCAAAAATACATAAGATCTTCTTGATCTGATAAATAAACATATTAAAATGTAATTCAAGATATGATCTCGGTAGTTAAACAACTAAGCTAACAGCGACTGGCGGTGTCTAAACGATGGCCTTTCGTACAGTGTTCCTTATTTAGAAGTCATTGAGTTAAAAGTTTGAAAAGAATGTCTTGAAAAAACTTTATATATATATTCGCCTCTTAATTTAATTCTCTTATATCCTTTTTTACTTTTCTAAAGTTAACCTTCTATTAAGTCCTAAACAATGGCGAAGGATCTCGTAATATGAAATTTTTAAACGCAGTTTCATCAAGTTCGTTACTCCACATTACAGTGGAACCTCAATATGACGAACCTCTATATAGCGGAGTCCTCGGTATAACGAACGATTTCTTTACCCCAGTAATAGTAAAATATTTGGAAAAGAACCTCGATATAACGAAACCTCGTTATAGCGAACAAATTTTGCCAGTCCCTTAGCCCTTAGTTATATCGAGGCACCACTGAATTCAGTTTTGTTTTTGTCTTGCGTTTTTCACCCGCTACCATGTTAATAAAAGGGAAATCTTGATGAAGCACAGGCTTTCTAGTGTTGAAATATTACATAAAAAATCTTGTTTTTAAAATTTTCTCCTTTTTTACTCTTTTTATTTTTCTCTACAGAACGCGTTTTCATTTGAGTCAGGAAAAAACTGCTTGAGAAAGCGAATAAATGAATAAAATAAGTTATATTTAACATGATAAAGATGGAGAGCAAATTTTCTCTAAACATTTTGTTATCTTTCGAGTATTATTTTATCAGTTAACTCGTTGAAAAGAGAATATAGAAGAACTTACATGTTCAAAATGTTCAATTAAGTTACTTTAAAATGACAACTAAATTTTCGGAAAATATTGAGACATATCCCTTACCTAACAGTAGATTATCTTCAGCGACCGATATGGCTAGTTATACTAACCAACAGAAACAGTGTGGAATCTGGATATTAAGCATATACAGGCCACTCATTAAGTTTGTCATTGAAAGAGTTCATCCCTTTTTCACTGTGTAGTTTGAAATAGGTTATCTTTTATTAACGAACTATTGTTTCCTTAAATTATTTTTTGCTCATTTATTCGAGGGTTGATTGTTTAGTGTGAGTGTCTTCTTGATTTTAAAGATCATTCTTTAATATGGTAAGACTTTTCACTATAGGAAAAACACAATAAAAACTGGGGCATGAAATGGTTTATGATTTTCCCCCACAATTGCTATCAACAATTCTTTAAGTTGTTTGTTGCATATCCACAAAGATCCTCTGCAAATCTATTTTCGAAAAAAAAAAATAATAATCCCACGGAATATCACGCATTGGATGTAATATCTGATTAGTTTTACTCACTAATTAACTTGACCAATCAATGTATTTTCGACCGCGTGATCGCTGTTCGCTCCCTCTCCCGTTTTCGTTGATTTTGTTGGCCTAGTAATCAGTAGTTTCACGTTGTGTAGGGGTCAGCCTATAAACTCCTACCTACTTTGTATCTTACGGATAGCACAAAGAGATCGTGTGGCAATCAGGGCATGTTTTCATCTTGTCTTACAGCTATTTACTATATATCCACAGCGGTATTCAGGTATTATTTTCAATCTGCCATCTGTGAATTCCTTGTGGCCATCAAGCTTTTTCTCACAGATTGTTAAGTTATGAAATGTTAATGGGACTCCTGGCGAGCCATACGTCACTAAAGGTGAGCCAATGATGAATTAAACGGCCCATGGGGCTTTTATGGACTTTTATGTATCTCAACATTAAAAAAAAACTAGTTTTCACGTAAAAATGTCTGTTGCTTTATATCTTTAAAATGACATGTATCCGAGACGTTTTTTTTCTGACTTCCTGTTTAATATCGGGCACTCGGATAATACGGAGATTATGGCATGCCCCCTTCGTGTCCGTATTGACCGGTTTCCACTGTATTTTCTATCTGAATACAGTATTTTTGTTTGGTTAAAAGTAGAGTACCCGTTTTATGACCAAAAATATTTTTTTACGTGCTATCTTTAAAGGACAAGAAAAACACAACTTCGCAACGAAAGATAACTTTCAAGCTTTTCTTTCTTTATTTTTCACGCATGATGTTTTGTAAAATGACAACTCCACAATAAATCTGTGTTTTCATACACCTACAGCAACACATCAGCAACACTAATCTGAGCTCTACCACTGAGATTCTACAACAACGTCCTCTATTTTAAAATCCTATACATCAAGTTTGGTTCCTTTTTTCTAAGAGAAAGAGAATAGCTCTTATCACAACAATGTGCAATTACTCAGTTCTCACCTATAATTTTCTCAGGATGACAGTACAAGTGTTGGTGTCTCCACCGGTACACTTGCAGTAGCACAACAAGCGCTGGCCATTATTGCAAACTATGGCGGTTTCAGTAAACTCTTTGTAACCATGTTTTTCCATGTTTTTCCAGAAGCTCTCTTCTCCGGTGCCTACTCTGAGCTTGTTGGATCCTGTATAAGGATTTTCAAAGGCAATTGTGACCTCAGTGTTATTTATGTCATAGGTAACGTATCCTGAACATCCTATCATAGTAGCCCAGTCTTTTTCATAGCTGAGAACTTTACCACTACCGTTCGCCTCAATTACACGCGGCCAGCCGAAATCATCCGCGACTCGTCCACAGTCGTACCAATCGCGCCTGCACGTCATAAGGAATGGGCATGTCATTGGTGATTTCCACTAGACAATTGTGTCCTTTCACCATTATGTGCCTACCAAGTTTAAAGGATTCTGGTCATAGGCCGTCCTCGGCTTCACTTATATCAGGGGCCCCCCCACGAGAATATAGTTCAAAACCACTTAAACATAGCATTGTTAAACGTATTTAGTATTTAAACGGTAGATATAGGCCTATTTTTATCCCTTAAAAGGTTTTCATCTGTTCGGATGAAAGTCTAGAGATCAAAAACTCACCTTTTCGAAAATTTCAGCCAGGAAAAGGCTCCCGAAAATTCTAGGTGACCTTTTTAGGGTAAAAATCCGTTAAAAATGGGCAATTATACCATTTTTTACATGTTCGAAAATCCTAGGAGAGGCAGGTAAGCAAGAAATTTTACAACAAATGTTTCGAAAATTCTAGACCTGAAATCGTCTTCCGAACAGATATTGTCGGAAAATTAACGTTGGGTGCCCCTGTTGTATGAGTCCCATATCAACAGACCACTTAAACATAGCATTGTTAAACGTATTTTAGTATTTAAACGGTAGATATAGGCATATTTTTATCCCCTAAAAATTTTTCATCTGTTCGGATTTCCTAGCTGAAAGTCCAGTGATCCGAAAATAATAGGGATCAAAACTCACTTTTTCGAAAATTTCAGCCAGAAAAAAGGCTCCCGAAAATTCTAGGTGACCTTTTTAGGGTAAAAATCCGTTAAAAATAGGAAATTATACCATTTTTTAGATGTTCGAAAATCCTAGGAGAGGCAAGTAAGCAAGAAATTTTACAACAAATGTTTCGAAAATTCTAGATCTCAAATCGTCTTCCGAACAGATATTGTTCCGAAAATTGTCGTTGGGTGCCCCTGTATCAAGCAAACACACACACAAAAAGAAACTTTAACTTAAACAATAAAAAGTAATCAGTGTTAGCAACTTTTGAGGCGATTTTTCTTTGATACGGAGACCTGTAAATTGAAAAAATAAAGCTAGATATGCATATTTCATGACCTAATCTTATTGCAGATGGATTTTGAGGACGAAAAAAATGTTGAAATGTTGCCGTTGCCGATACCTTAACGAGACTTGCCGAAAGGCGATTTTAACTGGGCTGTCATAATACTGTACAGCCACCCCCCTACTCTCAGAAAAAAATCGCCCCTTCTCCGTTTTTTTCTGAGGGGAGGAAGCGGTTCTACACAGGCTACAAAATAACCTTGTCGCAAACCATTGCGTGACAAAGAATCCTAAGAATTCTGTGACCTTAAATCCCAAGCAAATTTGTGGACAACCATATCGAGATTATTTGTCGCAAACCCGTTATATATAAACTGCGTGAGCTCGGGCATCCGTAAAAAAAAAGTTTCAATGAACAAACTTCACCTAAGAAATAACAGTCCTGAAATGCTACGTATATCGTAAATCTAGGTATGTCCATACTTAACTGCAAAGTATTTGGGACGGTAAAAAGAGAAAACGGGTCTGTCTTCCCCAGCGATTTGCTCATATCTCTCGATCCCAATAAACCCTTCCCATTTTATAGCTCGGCCGATAGAGATGATCAGTAGATCATATAATTTATGGTCAAAACGAAAAGACATTGTGCCACAAGATAAAAATATTTATACGTTTCAAGATTCATTCCTTTTAATTTCTTGTCCTTCTATAACCTTTTAAAAAGGAATTAGTTTGTTTACAATTTGCGACCTCGAAACGTTTAAAGATTACTCACAGTTTTTTGTCCATCGAGTACTCAAAAAAACATTAATAGATCAAAAGGTGGATAACATTTCTTTACCGTAATTTTAAACAGGGTCAAAGTGCTAATGACACAAACTTAAATTGTTTCGGTTCATGTTATTCATCGCATCATCTCTAAGCTCAAAAATTGACCCGTTTTCACAGTTAAAACATCACATTACTTGATAGACCATACTTTACCCCCTCACATCAGTGTTTCTTTCAGTAAATTTCAAGTTGTTTGCATAAAAAGGTGCTCATGTTTAAGCGAAATGTGAACTTTCAAGGGTTATGCTAACATCAATCATGCTTATTGAATTGGCAGAGACACAAATTAGGAAAAGCATAACAATCGATCACGCATGCGCGTGGAGGCAGCCCAGTTAATTGTGCAAAACTCGGAGTTTTTCAATACGTATACGAAGAAATTCTGTGCTTGGCCGAGAGCACTCAGGTTAAATGGTACAAATGTCTAGTTTAAAGGAAAGTGAAAGTCAAATTTGCAAACAAACAAGGCAGGCAGCCAAAAAAGAGGATTACAGGAAAAACTAGGGTTTACCCAAGGATTTACCCGATTCTACTGTCTTATGACCTTTCAAGAGCGTTGTGTCTTTGGTTTGCTTTTATTCTGACTATATGTTTTGATGGACTGTTCTCAGAATTTAGCATAAAGGTGACGGGAAACAGTCTCTTTTTTTCCTTTGCCTGTCTTCTCATTAGCAGTCTCGTTGCCCACTTCAAGTATCGTCTTTTTTGCTCGGAATTGTGGCTGGCCAACTTTTTAGGAAAGGAACGGCAAATTTAATCTTTAAGGAGTAGTAGGTAAACAGCAAAATTGGCAGGGAATTTTTCCCAAAATGGCCCCTTTTTTCTTGAGAGTAACTATATATGTCAGGATTAGTCAGAATATCCAAGGCACTGCTGGAAAGATCTGTCTTTGCGGACGTTCATGCTTACCAATTATTAACTTAAACAGGAAGCTAAATGGGTCCAGGAAGAAAAGTATGCATCGCTCCATATGGGAAGGAAACGACCAAAGCAGTCGTGGAAGTAATATATCAAACATGAGATGCAGTGTTTCATCACCAGATGAAACACCGAGAAGAGAGTTGAAAATACGACGCGCAGCGGAGTATTTTTGACGAACTTCGAGGTGTTTCATCCGGGTGATGGAACACTGTGTCGAATGTTTGATATTTCTTCTCAAACAAAATCATTTTTGAAGGAGAAATTAAGGATGCAAATACTAAGCAGTGTTTCATCCGATTTCCAAACACTCATTAAACATTAATTTCCTTTGTATTTTCTTAATGAATTATTAATGAGTTTGAGAAGGGTTATTAATGGACTCCTGACGAGCTTTAAGTGACTTAAAAGTCACTAAGTCCAAGGCTGGAAAACTGATGTGCCCAAGAGCTAATCAGTTTAACTTGGAGACAGGGGAATTGTTCTAACTGAGCACTCTCTTGAGCTCCAAGATTGGGGAGAATAGAATCGTCTACGCTGTCGTAATTGACAAGTACCAATGAAAGAACCAATTGAATGCTAGCGGTAAACTGCTCGCTAGGACCAAGCATACAAAACAGGAACATCAGTGGAGGTAAAACTCAAGGTCAACTTTTATCCCTGGACATGCCTACTTTAAAGAACTACAACTAATTTTAACAAATCCTTCAAATAGACGATACTTCTAAAAAACTCAGGAACTAACCATGTGGGTTATACACTGAATTTCACTGGATTACGAACTGTTTAAAACTAGCACGTACTACAAAGTAATCATTTGGATACCCTTAACATAAGAGAAACCTTAAAAATACCAAAACTCAAAAACAAAACTAACAGCAACTACTTCGCAACATTCCTCCTCGCTTATTGAGCATCGTCCTCGAAGCGGACGGAAGGAAGATTTTACGCATTACTTTTAGGAACTTACTTAATCAGTTAACTAGTTTAATAATGCAAAATAATGTTGATGGTTAAAAAAAAACTATTGCGACGAAACATAATGAGTTTACTGCATCTCCTCCGCTGCCATTTGACCAGAGTGGGTGTGCATTACTATATAATCATATGCGCTCTGTGAGGAAAGTAGCTCCGCACGGACAGCTACGCTTTGCTTTGAGTTTCTTGAAACATTCTATGCCTACAATGTGATTGCAGCGCAGTACAGTCTAGTCAAATACAGCTGCACCTTTCATTTGGAAACAGAAGACACCAATATACTTTGCTATAAAACGAATGCGGCGGTTCAGGATCCATTTTCCTATAAACAAGCATAAAAACAAAAGAATCGCAACGATAACCAAACCTATAATAACGCAAGACATCGGTCAATTTTGATCTAACTCGTTCAAACGATTACTGACTAACTGATTTTCTGCATTGACAAGTACCAAAGAACCAATTGAATGCTAGCGGTAAAACGGCGTAGGTAAAACTCAAGGTCAGCTTTCAATTATCCCTGAACATGCCTACTTCAAAGAACTACAACTAATTTTAACAAATTAAATCCTTCAAATAGACGATACTTTTCAAAAAGTTAGGAACTATAACCATGTGGGCTATACATTGAATTTCATTGGATTATCAACTGTTTATTAATAAACTAGCACGTGCTACAAAATAATCATTCGGATACCCTAAACATAAGAGAAAGCTTAAAAATACCAATCTCAAAAACAAAACTAACAACAATGACTTCGTAACACTTTTTACATGTATAGGGCTGTGTATTAAGGCGCGAAAAGATTTCACTATTTTTTTGGAATTTCGAGTTCAAGTCGTCATTTTCTCATGAAAAATTGTTTTAATTTTTTACACAATGAGAAAAACATATGTTTCAAGACAAATGCAACTAAAATGTTCGAAAATGTACAAAGGTCTATTGGTGTTGCCCAAAATGGCGGAGCTTTAGCATCTACAACGGCGATGGCAGCGAAAACGTCACACAAAGAGTGAATTCCCGCTGCTTTGGCTTCTTCGCTATTATTCCATCTCCTCAGGGGCACCCAACGAGGATATAGTTCAAAACCACTTAACATAGCATTGTTGAACGTATTTCAGTATTTAAACGGTAGATATAGGCATATTTTTATCCCCTAAAAACTTTTCATCTGTTCGGATTTCCTAGCTGAAAGTCTAGTGATCCGAAAATTATAGGGATCAAAACTTACCTTTTCGAAAATTTCAGCCAGGAAAAGGCTCCCGAAAATTCTAGGTGGCCTTTTTTAGGGTAAATATCCGTTTAAAATGGGTAATTATACCATTTTGTAGATCTTCGAAAATCCTAGGAGAGGCAGGCAAGCAAGAAATTTTGCAAAAAATGTTCCGAAAATTCTAGTTCTCAAATCGTCTTCCGAACAGATATTTTCCCGAAAATTGCCGTTGGGTGCCCTTGTCTCCTATTATTTCAGTGTCAAATGTTGGCCAGTTTTTCTGAAGTTGAACTCTAAAGGTTTTATCTAAGTTAGGAAAAAGAAAAATAAGTCGTTTTCTTGTGTTCACGTCCTTCATAAAACGTTGATTTGAGAAGTTTCACGTAGTAGTCGCGCAACGACAGCAAAGAAATGAACAAAAAGCGTTATACACGTACAAAGCAAGTTGTTGTTTTGTCGTTCTCGCTACCGTCGCCGTTGTTGATCCAATAGGGAGCTTAAGCAGCGACGTTTTTGAGCGACGCACGTCAACCGGAAGTGAGGTATTTTCCCTCTTAACATGCCTTGATGATATAAAATTTGTATTCCTTAGCTTCTTTACTGTTATAGCGGCGATTTGACTGAAAATTTGCGCGAAACCACCGTCAAAAAATGAAAAAAGGCCACTTCCGGTTGACGTGCGTCGCTCAAAAACGTTGTTGCTTAAGCTCCCTAATAAAAACTCCCTATTTACGTCCGTGAACATTCTCTATTGTTTTATTCGAGTCAGGTTGACAGTACAAGTGTTGGTTGTTCCACCGGTGCACTTGCAGTAGCACAACAAAATCACCCCATTATCGCAAACTATGGTTTGAGTAAAATCCTCGTAATCATGGCTTTCCATCTCATCCCAGACCTCCTTTCCTCCGGTCCCCACTCCAAGCTTATTGAATCCTATATCTGGATTGGAGAAGGCAATTGTGACTTCGGTGTCGTTCATGTTATAGGTAACGTACCCTGAACATCCTGCCAAAGCGTCGTCTCTTTCATAGCTGAGGACTGTTTGATGATCGTTTGCGTTAATAGTCGGAGGCCATGTGAAACCATCCGCGACTCGTCCACTGTCATACCAATCCAGCACATACGTCATAGGGAATTGCGTCTCATTGGTGATTTCCACTAGACAATTATGTAGCTTCACCATTATGTGCCTATAAGGTTTAAAAGGACCATTTTTTTTTAACTAGTAATGGTTTATGGGAGGCCGATATGCAAGTAGTCTGCTACACAGCCGTTTTTAGGGTCGTCACGCAACGCTCCTTCCAACAACATTTTGCGTGACGACACTAAAAACGGCTGTATAGCAGGCTAATATGCAAGCAAACAAAAAAAATCCATTTTTAGCCCTCCTGCCTATAAGCTTCTCTTTCACCCGCAAACCTCATATTTTTAGTCCATTTTCTTCTCTCAAGAGCCTTAATGGCTCTTGTTCTCTCTATCTCTTATTTATAAAAGCTCGGTCGAATGCTGGATGGGAGCACCCTGTAACGCAATTCAAAAGAGAAATGAACTAGATTGTAGCTTGAATGTCACGAAAAGCGTTCATAATCGGTCATGGCTTGTTTAGACTGCGAATGAAGACTTATTTCTGGTCGTCGCTGAATTACTTAGGTTCATAGGGAGAATCACAGGAGAGATATCTGCAAGAACCTTCTAGATGCATTTTCAAGAGGCTTTGTCGAAACATGAATTTTACGAGCTCTGCAGACAGAAGAGTTACAATATTGCCTGTACTTACAAAAATATCGTATTTATACGTCATGTTATCACATTTACGCTTCATACAAACCTTTTTATACCCAGAAAGAGAAAAAGTATCGCTGTTAACAACAGATGGCTCACAGACTCGTCAGTTGTATCCGAGAAATTGAAAGTAAAAGAGGAAATCAAAATCCTCGAGGATGATTATGTTATGACCTTAAACAATCGAGGATGGACTCAAGATGAAGTCATCTGACTACACTTGAAAGGTGTAACGTTTCATTTCTGGCCTGGTACCTGCCCATTCCAGGCTCCGTAGTGGGAAGAAAGGATCAGAAAGGCGAAAAACGGCGGGGATGAAACAGCAAAAATTGGCGAGGGAAGCGAGCCGAGTGAAGGACCCTTTCCCCTTCCCAGACTACCGCTCTTCTCGCTTCGCTCGCTTACTTTTTTTTCCTCCCTCGCCAGGAGCTTCCGGCCCTCGCAGATTTTTTTTTTCGCCTTTTTCCCCCTTTGCGGAACCTGGTCCCAAGCTTTTTCAGGATAATTTTACGTTTTTGTGAAACTGCCCACCTAGCTTCCCCTCACCTAAGCCAACATTTTGCCCTAAGTAAGAACTAAGTTTTGATGTTGGTTTAGGGGAGGGGTAGGTGGGCAGTTTCCCAGAAACGTAAAATGATCCCTTTTTTGTTACTGATTAAACATCCTGTTCCTCTGACGAAAGTAATTTTTATTAAAAAAAATTATGGGGGTAACAGGGACTGTTTAGAAACAATTAAATATCCTAGCCAAAGTTGTTCGAAACATGGTAAGCTTTAATTCCGGATTAACAGAAATCAAAACATGAGTTGTCAGAACGAACGCTGGACGGCTAAGTACATCAAATCCAAGTCAAATCCGGGATGGATCTTTTTCTCAGAACCAAAATTTCTTGGATGCATAGATTGCCAAATTTTCTTACCCGTGGTGCTCCGCTACGCGCACTTCGCGCGCGAGAGAGCTCCCAAATAATAGCATGATTTGTACGTGATATTTGGCATAAATACCACTCGTAATATTTCAAAATTGTCTCAAATTTCACTCGTCGAACCGCCCGTGAAACTATGTATAACAATGGACTACCTCTGGAGGTGGACTGACCAACCACTTTTTCCTCCTTGCCCTAAACGTTCCATTTATATATTTACACCGAAATTGCGGGAAATTTTGACATAATGGAAAGCGAGCGGTAAAGAGCACATGCGCATAAAAAGTAAATACATTAATAAATAAATTGCTTACATCAATGACTGTAAGCTCAGAATACTATACGAATTTGGCCTTGCTTGTGCTCGTCGCGTTTATCTGCCAAAGACCACCCTTTCTGTTGATTTTAGTTCTCTGTTAACAAGGGGAATAAAGAAAGTTTGCAAATTCACTAGAAACTAACAACATGCACAGGCTACTTCAACAAGACGTGAGGCGTGATACGTTAGGTCGAGACAAAACAAATGTTACAGCTGTCCTTATTAGGGACTGTGCAATAATTACCTGGAGGGGGGGGAGGGTGAAAAATTAGAGGGGGGCTATAGGAGAAAATGACAACAAGAGAGAGGGGGGGTTGGATGTAAAATTTAATACATACAGGGGAGGGCATTACTTTTTCATTCCTTTTTGCAAACTAGAAAAGTAGTAGAAGAGTTATTAGAGTTCAAATATAAATACTAACATTGGAATAAAACTGACAAATTTATCAACTCTAAGGTGTTCTGATCTATGAACTGTTATTTTCCTATCTGTCATGCAGTAGGAAAGGAATGCCTCTGTTATATATGTTAAAACAGTGCTACTTTATTAGCACTAGGATTTAATAAAACAGGAAACGTTAATCAAAAGTTGCAAAATTAGCACTATAATGTTATTCAATGAAAAAGAAACATGCCAATGTTAGCACACATTGCATCATAATTTAGCAGAATAAAAAACCCAACTGTTGAAATTTTAATAGCGATACAAATTTAAAGTATGGTAATTAAAACACAGTATGATTAAATCGAGCTTCAAAAAAACAGTTCAATCAGACAGGAATTCCTGAGTTCTCACCCACGCACGCGGGAACCTTAGTGCCAGAGATGGTGTACTGAAGATGAGGTATCTCCCAATTCATGCGAAGACGACACAAGCTCAGAATCCAGTGATTCTGATGACTCTTCAAATGACTCTTCGACATACGTCGAAGAGTCATTTGAAGTGATGTTTGTACCGGAGGAAGAAATCCAACAAGTAAACGAGGTATGAGGGAATCGATGGGAGGAGACTTTTTTTAGGGGGGGGGGTAAGCTTTAATATTATCATTATGTGAGAGGGGGTTGAAATTAATTTTTGCTTAACGAGAGGGGAGTATGACTTAGTTTTGGGGCATATTTCACCCATTTCCCAACTCCCCCGCCCCCCCCTCTCCAGGTAATTATTGTACAGTCCCTTATCCGGTGAAAAAAAAGTCTTAGGTTTAGTTTTCTTTCAGTTTGTTTGAAGTTGTGATTTTATTTGAAAAGAAAAACAACAACTTACTAAGCCAATGAGGAACTGCAGTTTATTCAATTTTGTATCGCAAAGCAAAGATTTTAAGAGTTATATTTTACACCTTCTAACGCATTTCATTCACGCAGTTTTTTTTTCTTAACCTTTCATGATGGCTCTATGGTTGACTACTGAAAATAGTATCATGCACGATGACTGTTACTCTACACTACAAGCTATCTTCTTGTCTTAGAACATTTTTTTACAGACTCCTTATGTTCAGTAATAACGAAACCTGATTCAGCCATTTATATTGAACCTTGGCCAGTACCCCAATTTATTGGCTACACAGCGGATATAATCACTTTCGTTTCTCCTCTGGTCATGTTCCTCAATCCATTTTACACGCAACTGAATTCCACCATTTTCTGCGAAATTCTTCTTGACGAACTTGTCTATGGCCAAGTCCTGTCTTTTGTGTTCCACCATCCTCCGATGAATATCGTTGCTTCTACCAACATACACTACCTCTGTACTGGCGCGGGGATGGGTGGTCCCTATAACATAGATCCCCTCTAAGTGAGGAATTTGGCCTACGTTGTAGTTACTCCAACTTTTCTTCAGCAAGCGTGTGCATATGTTTTCCATTTTCAGGCCTGAAACTGAAACATATACCAGGGATCAATTACGCCTTTCTAGAAAAAAATAACTATGTTTTTTAGCGAGCCAAAGAAAACCTGTCCTACCGATTTCATTTGAAAAATCATTACATGTATCGATCGGCATCCAGGTAGAGGTACATGATCAAACTGCTCCAGTTTGTGAATAAGGGGGAAAAAAAACACAAAATGAAATCAATCTTGCGTGACTTTCCAAGAAAGCCATTACTTTAATTACTTATAAAGATTCCAAGAAAATTATTGTTATTGTGCTTTTCATTTCAACCAAAATTACAGCGACTAGCCTAACGCATGATGCCAAGATAATTATACTTCATTAATTTAAGCAGATGAAGTCCAAGACCTCGAGCGCCGTTTCTTCTCAAGAGATTGATCGAAACGTTTCGATAAACATAAAACTCGGGCACAACATTGACCCACCGTATGGAGGCATAATGTTTAATGCATTGTATGCCCACGTTGGCCTTATACTTGTCAAAAAGTTCATTTTTATACAAAAGCAGAGACTGAAGTCTTTCTCATTACCTTTATACTGTGTACAATGAGCAAACAAACTCACGACGTCCCACGTCTGCTTTCAAAGCGCCCTGTAAATCTGAAAAGAAAATATTGGGGTCAAAAAAATCGGAATAGTTCTTATATAACGGTATCCTCGTCTGATATAACAGTAACTGTCGTTAAACCGCTAATGGCGTGGAAAATTTGCAATATGTTACACACTGAAGTCTGTTCAAGGGCGTGAAAATGAAAATGGCGCGCGAGCTGGCTTCACAAGAGGGCATAGAAATTCACTAATAATAAAATTTCACCCTCTTCAGAATTTGTTTTTCCTCGGTCTTCAAGAAGAAGCCCACGAAGTTTTTACAATAAGAAAGGAAGTGAAATAAAATCTCTTCTGACGTACAGAGTAGCAAATAGAAAAATACGCTTTGTGTACAGAATATCAGCCTTACCTCAGAAAATACGGCTATGTCAGTAATTGACGATTTCAATTTGAATTGCCCGCCGTCTGGAGTGAAAATTTATAGGCTTCATGACGTAATCGTTTCCTTCGATTCTGACCAATCACAACAAGGCTTCAAAAGGACTAAAAAAATTTCAATAACAAAGGGCTTGCAAAGGGATATTTCCCTGCGACAAAAATGTTCCAAATAACACGTGCTGGTTAATCATGATGATGGAAACTGAAATCGCTGTCTATTAGTAAGAGTGTATAAGCCAAGGCAGATATCACTATATCGCTTACGGCTTCAATGTACCATAT